AAAAACCACCTATGTAGTCAGCTGGTCTCTGCCTTTCTGCGCCAACGTCCATCCTCAGACACTGTGGGCCCTGTGCGCTCGCGTTCCGCTGCCATGGCAGCAGGGGAGGGGTGGGGTGGTAGGAGCAGTGGCAGCTCCACCAGCAGCGGCTGCCTCAGTCTGCAGTCGATGATGAGTAGCTTTCTTCACCAGCGCAGTGAGGAAACTACTAACCAGTCGCAGCAGCAGCAGCATTAGGTGGACCTGGAGCAGGACCTCAAACAACAGGCTTAGGCCTACTTGGACAGCACCCTGCCAACCGAGGTAGACAATCCCCTTGACTACTGGGCAATGAAACTTGACCTTTGGCCCCAACTAGCTGAATTTGCCCTTGAAAGGCTGTCATGCCCGGCCAGTAGCGTGGCATCGGAGCGCGTGTTTAGTGCGGCAGGAGGTATTGTAACTCCGCGGAGGACACGACTGTCCACCCAAAGTGTGGAGAGACTCACGTTTGTGAAAATGAATCAGGCGTGGATTAGTCTGGATTTCAAACCACCAGTTCCTGACACAACTGACTAAATCCGCCATGAATCATGCCCCAAACATGTGCCACTTTCAGGTCTCCTCACACTGCTGGTGTGTTCCATTTTTTGTCATAGGGTGCTGGCAGATTACGGGCTTCCCATTGCTGCTGCCAGGCCCGTAATCTGCCATGGGCCCCTGTACCGCCTCCTCATGCTGCTGCCAGGTCCAGAGTGTGTCATGGGTCCCTGTACAGCCTCCCATTGCTGCTGTCTCCATCGCCACACTCTTCCATGTGCCACTTTCAGGTCTCCTCACACACTGCTGGTGTGTTCCATTTTTTGTCATAGGGTGCTGGCAGATTACGGGCCTCCCATAGCTGTTGCCAGGCCCCTAATCTGCCATGGGCCCCTGTACCGCCTCCTCATGCTGCTGCCAGGTCCACAGTGTCTCATGCCATGTGCCACTTTCAGGTCTCCTCACACTGCTGTTGTGTTCCATTTTTTGTCATAGGGTGCTGGCAGATTACGGGCCTCCCATTGCTGCTGCCAGGCCCGTAATCTGCCATGGGCCCCTGTACCACCTCCTCATGCTGCTGCCAGGTCCAGAGTCTCTCATGGGTCCCTGTACGGCCTCCCATTGCTGCTGTCTCCATCGCCACACTCTGCCATGTGCCACTTTCAGGTCTCCTCACACACTGCTGGTGTGTTCCATTTTTTGTCATAGGGTGCTGGCAGATTACGGGCCTCCCATTGCTGCTGCCAGGCCCGTAATCTGCCATGGGCCCCCGTACCGACTCCTCATGCTGCTGCCAGGCCCGTAATCTGTCATGGGCCCCTGTTGTCGCTTGTTGGCATATTCCGCTTGTTCAGATGCTCCTTCTCCTGCTACTCCTCTTCACGGATTCCGTCAGCAGTCTTTCTTGGAATACGTTTCCAAGAGACAACAGTTTGCAAGCACGCACCCGACGGTGCAGAAGCTGAACGTCCTCCTGTCCAAGTTGCTGCTGCCAGGCTCGTAATCTGTCATGCGCCCCTGTACCGCCTCCTCATGCTGCTGCCAGGTCCAGAGTGTGTCATGGGCCCCCGTACCGACTCCTCATGCTGCTGCCAGGCCCGTAATCTGTCATGGGCCCCTGTACCGCCTCCTCATGCTGCTGCCAGGTGCAGAGTGTGTCATGGGTCCCTGTACGGCCTCCCATTGCTGCTGCCAGGCCCGTAATCTGCCATGGGCCCCCGTACCTACTCCTCATGCTGCTGCCAGGCCCGTAATCTGTCATGGGCCCCTGTACCACCTCCTCATGCTGCTGCCAGGTCCAGAGTCTCTCATGGGTCCCTGTACGGCCTCCCATTGCTGCTGTCTCCATCGCCACACTCTGCCATGTGCCACTTTCAGGTCTCCTCACACTGCTGGTGGTTTCCATTTTTGTCATAGGGTGCTGTATGGCCTCCCATTGCTGCTGCCTCCACCGCCACACTGTGGCTCCACACTCTGGTTTTGGCCCCGTGACTGCCCAAATGAGTGAAGTGTGCGGTGATTCTAAGATCGACGGCACTCATCTGCATGTCATACTGACTGTCAGTATTATTTCTCTTCCCCAGCAGACTCCAAGGGCATTTAAATTAAAGGTACAGTGTTCTGCACTAATATAAAGGCTCTCTGAAGCCTAGAAACACCCTTTTATAAGTTAAATTCGCAGCGAATATATTCGACTCGAATCAAAATTTTTCCACGAATTCGCCGAATCAGTCGAATCGAATTCTTGAATACTTCGCTCATCTCTAATTATAAGGATAGAGATATAATTCTCCATCTCCCCAAACAACAACCTGCCATGAAGATCCAAGGGGCAAAAATATCTATATTTCCAGATGTTTCTATTTTTTTCACTTGCTATGCGATCTCTGGGCTGGGAAACACCCTATGCCACTTGTCACCTACTGGACTTTGGGAGGAAGACTATTTTCTCTGGGATTTCCCTGTCATTATGCACATCGTACTGGCGATTTATCACGCAACACTTCCATGGGGCACTTGACACTGCCCCCAAGGAATCATAATTCTACTCTTCATAACCTCCTTCATAAACATGAGTAATCAAAAGGATAATATCCTTTCTTGGAACATCCGTGGCCTGCATGACCCTAATAAGAGGTTGGCTGTTTTTACGTTCCTCGGCCATCAAGACCCTTCCATTTTATGCCTCCAAGTGACTCACATACTGTAACTTTGGACACTCTTCATCTTTTGAAACACTCTAAATTCCCCATCCAGTTCCATGCGACACACTCTCAATACTCTAGGGGCCTGAGTATAATGGTTGCCATAGGTGTACCTTTCACGGTTATCTCCTCCAAGATCGACCCATTAGGTCATTACATATTTCTATTATGCCATCAGTTCTCTCATTTATGTGTTCTTGCAAATATGTATGTACCTCCACCATTTAATATGGAGACAGTAAAGTGTCTGTTTCAATTTGTAGCCACCCATCCACAAATTCCAATATTGGTAACGGGGGACTTTAACATTGTTTTGGATACTTCCTTAGATCTCTTTAAAAAATTCTCCCCGCATGGCCCTAAACAACATTCTCCTTTTGCCCACCACAGGATGGAGATTGGGTTCCGGGACTTATGGCAATATCTCCACCCACTAGATGCTCACTTTTCATGTTACTCAAGCTCCCATGACTCTCTGTCCCATATAGATTTAGCGTTGGGTTCTGATCTGATCCTACTGTATACCCCTCAGGTAACCTACTTAGCCAAGGGCATATCTGATCATTCCCCAATGCGTATACCCTTATCCTTGAAAAGGCCTTCTTCATTTACACTGTGGAAGCTCAATCCATTCTAGATAACTATCTTTGGTCCTAATGCATAAACAATTACAGGGCTTCTTACTTGATAACAGACACTCAACATCTCCTATGATTGTTTGGGATGCTTTGAAAGCATATATTAGAGGAATGTGTTTCAAAGAAATTTCCAGAATTAAGACTAACTTCAGACAGTGGGAAGTTGATGCCAGCCAATTTGTAACCAAGGCAGAACAAAGCCTATCTTAGCAATACCAACCCTGATACAGAGAGGGAGTGGGTGCATGCCCAACAATTTCTGGAAAGAGGAAAATGCTGAATGCACAACTCACTCTTGAAAAATTGCAAATGACTATCATTCTACCCCACATCCAAGGCCCCCGGCGGAGATTGGCTGCTAATGGAAATTTACAAATCTTTTGGTAGAATACTTCTACCTGAACTACTTAAAATACTTCAGGTTGCATTAGAACAGAACTCCTTCTCTGCCTCTATGTATGAGGCAATAATAGCGGAGTCTTACCACCCCATATCGTTATTAACCTCAGACCTCAAAATCATTACTAAAATACTGGCGACCAGACTAACCAAGGTTATCTTTATGCTTATTCACCTAGATTAGTTTAATTCTTAATAGATCTACGGCAATCAATATTCGTAAGCTTTATCTTAACCTTCAAATCCTTTCTGACAACATGGGTGACAGGGTGATTTTGTCTCTCGACACAGCTAAAGCGTTTCACAGTGTAAAATGGAGGTACCTTTGGCAAGTCCTTTCGAAATTTAATCTAGGGGACGACACTTTCATCTCATGGCTTCAATTATTATATTGTGCCTCGTCGGCCCGTATTCGGGTTAATAATGCCTTATCCTCTGCATTCACACTAAGAAGAGGGACACAGCAGGGTTGTCCTCTCTCCCTGCTATTATTTGCCTTAGCGATACAGCCCCTGGTGGCTTCCATTACAGAGGATCCAGGTATTGTTGGTTTTTGTAGAGAAGAACAGATGGAGAAAGTAGCATTATCTGCCTATAACACCCTTTTTTTTGGGTCATACATCCTCCTCATTAACATGCCTAATGACATTAATCACAGAATTTGGCTCCTTCTCTGGCTTCTCAATAAATTGGGCTAAATCCACCCCTCTCCCGCTGAACACCCTTATGCATTCCATACCACCTGAAGCTGCACAGCTTGAAATTGTGGACTCCTTTAAATATCTTTGTATCATCATTCACCCCACTCTATTGAAATATACATATCTATATTTACTTCGGCTAAGTAAAAAATTCCAACAAAAAACAACCAGATAGACCAAACTCCCTCTTTCCGTGGTAGGGAGGTGTAACTTAATCAAAATGATATGGGCCCCTCAATTACTCTATATACTGCACAATGCCCCTATGTGGATTCCTATACAGATTTTTAAATGATTTGATACTGTGTTTACTGTGGATGCACATATCTCGGATTAAACTAGAGACTCTACAGGAAGCTAAGGATATGGGCGGCCTTGCAGTTCCCCAGCTACAACATTTTACAGCCTGGCAGGACAATGCCTGGAAGCAGGTGAGTTTAAATCCCTAGCACAGTTCCCCACATTAGCACTGATTGACAGAGTGTGGTGCAAAGCGAAACATCACTTCCAATATCAAGGCTTTACCACATTCACACGTATCCTCAATAACCATAACTACCTGGAACTCCTTAAACTGAAGGGCTTTGCTGCTTGGACATCTGCAGGTCTTTAATATGTCCCTCTGCTGTACCATGGGCAATTGATGAAAGACTTTCAAACTTTAAGGGTGGAGTTTGGCTTGCCCAACTTCGGTGTTTTTCCAATATTTACAACTTAGACATGCCATCTCGGCACAGGCCAGGGCTTCCTTGTGGGTCTTGGTTAATCCCATCCTTCTTAGTCAATTAGTGTGCTCCCCAACCAAAAAGGGACAGATCTCCTCACTATGTAGTGCATTGATTCAACGGGTGTCCTGGGCTATGCCCCTTAACTGAGATTTGGAGTATATATCTGATGAAGAGTGGTCCACCATACTTTCTAATATCTTATTGGTATCTGTGTCTTCATCACAAAAACTTACCCCGCTCTTCATTGTCCATCGTACTTATTGCACCCCCCAGAAACTATTTGATAGGCACAGGAGGGATACTGCCCTTTGCCCACATTGTGCTGATGAAAACGGTACCCTGTTACATATGCTGTGGAAATGCTGTAAACTGGACCTCTGCAATAAAGTTGATCAATAATATCTTCACTCTCGCTCTCCCTGTAGACCCTAAACTTTGTCTGCTGGGGTGGTTAGATGAGGAGACTGTTGAACCCCTCACATATACAGCTATAACTCATCTTTTATTTATATCTAGGAAGCTCATAGCACAAAAATGTTTGTCTCTGAACCTCCCATCTGTGGCTTGTTGGATTAAAGCAGTCAATGAGATGTTACACCGAGAAAAACTAGTTTATCAACACAGGCGGAAAATTTATAAAACTATGGGATGCCTGGCTGGGTACTCCAGGCCTGGCACTATTTCACCTAGTGAAGGATAGGCTCTTGAGCGGTTGTATCGCCTTCTGGTCTGGTATGACATTTAACTGAGAAGTCCCCTTGTTAGAAGTGTTCAAATGGTCATGAACAAGCTGCCCGTGATCCCTCCTACTTTGGCTGATTTTTTTGCATTATGTAATATAGTCCCCTAATGGTTGATATTGTTTCCAACTCCAAATGGTGCTGAGTGACGCATATAAGCACAGAGACAGAAAGTTAAGTAGTTAGACTACAACTTTTTTCTATACTTTATTTAATTTTTTTGGTTTATAAGGCTCAACGTAATTAATATTATTACATGACATGATAATTGTGTAGGTAAACATATAGCCAGCATGTTATATACTCTGATGGTACAGTCCTGCTCGACAACCTTATGTGTGATTTGTCTGTCAGTGAGGTTTTGGCTGTTATCCTTGTATCTTCTTTTCTGTGATTTTTCTAATTGTTTTTGATTGTTTTTACTTTGTATGTGTTTTTGTACAAGAACTGTTAATTTGAAAATGGAAACTTGTTGGTTTTCTAATAAAAAGTATCTGATTTTAAAAAAAATAAACATTAAACATTCTCCTTGAAGACGTGGTGTCTCAGAAGGTTATAATCATGATATACAAATCTTTGAATTGTAGCATTGGGAGAAAACTATTTTATCTTAGGTCTCTAAAAAAGACACGTGGCCACACAATGTTGGATGAGAAGCAATTCAAATTTAAACTGCATAAGGAGTTCCTTACAGGCAGATCTGTATGGATGTGAAACTCCCTTCCACATTTGATGTCAGTGAACAGTGTAGATAATTCTAAAAACTTTCAGATGTGTTTCTTAGTGAATACAATGTATGGGGATATGTAAAACAGTATACACACACAAACTGTTACTGAACTGGATGGATTGGTGTTTTCATTCAACCCTACAAATTATATAACTATGTAGAATAGTTACAGGTGTACTTAAAGTTTTACAACTGTGTAACACCCCCTTATCTCTACAGACAGCTGGGAGCCCATGTAGTTCTGTGGACTGACATTTCACCCCAGGGTTCGGTTCTTGACTTTTTGTGGACTGTAAAGAATTGGGCGCTAGTCACTTTTGGATATTTTGTAGTATTTATTAGGGCCAATAAACTGCAGGGAGAGAGAATTAGAGCCTAGGATATACAAAAGAGAGACACCAGCAGATTCCAGACTGTACCTGCAGTCAACAGAGGTAAAAGGGCTCTTAACCCATGATCAGTTCTCTGTAATCTTCCAACTAGTAAGCAGCAGC